CACACACACACACACACACACACACACACACACACACACACACACACGGGACCCTACTTTAGGGGATTAGAACTCCTATTGGTGGCTAAATTGGAGAGAAGGATTTGGGAAGAATATCTTATTTTTTGTTTTTCAAAGTCTGAGGTGTAGGTAATGGGGAGAAAGTTACGTTGAATAGGGAATACATGCCAGTCAGTTTGATTTTTTCTGCCTCTCTGAGTAACAAGTCTTTGGGGATTTTTTTTTCTTTATTCTGGATAATTGTTTTCTCTTTATAGGCAATGATAATTCAAGATACTGTTGACTTAGAAGCCCCTGACTATTTGTCTGAAGAATTCGATGTCTTTGTTTATGCCAAGTCAGATTCCCAGTGTTCTGACTGCTTCAGAACGATTTTGCCTATTCACTGCCGGTATCACCAGCCTGAGGAGAAAGAAGAAAAAGCTTTTGTGGTGGTGAAGAACCCGGAATTATTGGTTAGTTGCTACAATGGTAAGTGTTGTTTTTTAAAATGCCCCTAAAGTAAGATGAACAAGTGTGTCAGGGATAGAGGATGGACCGTTGATCTCTTTGGTACAGGGAGCTACTATCCCCTGGTGAGGAAACTCACTCCTCCGGTGTAGAGTGTACCTTTTTTTGTAGGTTATAATCTTAGACAGTTGCCTAGAGCACTGAAAAGTTAAGTTATTTGCCCAGGGCAATGTAGAAGGTATGTGTCTGAAGCAGAACTTAAACCCATATCTTTGTAGCCTCAAGGTTGGCTTTCTATTACTCCATTCTACCACCTCTTATAGAGAGTTTTTCATAAAGGTGAATAATATAGTTGACTTTTCATTTTTCTTTTATTGAGTTTGAGAATCCCTTTTAACTTTGAAGCTGCCTCTCTAATGTGAGTTAACTGAATGTGGAGTCAGCCAAGTACTGATGACTCTACTATGTACTAATTTTGTTGGAAAATTTGGCATCAAGTTTATGATCACCACATGTTTTATTTCACTATATAAGAGTATATAAGTGATCAGACAGGGTCATTCTAGTTGTCTATCCACACTAGTATTCTGGGTTTGATAGTGAGATCAAGTGATATGCTTTCCTCCTAGACATTGACTTCAGAATGTTAAAAGTGTGTCACCTGAGCATTTTCATTAAAAATCCATTATTTATCTATCATCATCCATGAATTTAAGCTTTTGGAGGGAAATTGTTAATATTTTTAGCCTCTGATACCACTTGGAATTATGAGTTCCATGCCTGTGGAGCCCTTTGGACAAAATGGTACTGTATTACTCTAAATTTATCTCTTTCAGGCTTCTGGGGACATCCTCCTAGTTCTAGTAGAGTGGAACTTGGTAAACAAGTCCATGTTAAGGGCAGCTAGGCAGTGACGTGAATAAAGTGCTTGGCCTGGAGTTGGGAAGACTTGAGTTCATATCCAGCTGCATACACTTACTATCTGTGTGACCCTAGGCAAGTCACTTAATTTCTGTCTATTGCAGTTTCTTCAGTTGTAAAATGGGGATAGTAGTACCTCCCAGGGTTGGTTTGAGCATCAAATGAGATAATATTTATGAAGTGTTTAGCATGGTACCTGGCACATAGTAGGCACTTAATGCTTAAGCTTGCACCTACATGTTCCTTTCCCTTTTTCCTTCCCTCCTCCCCAGCCTTCATAAATTAGATTGTGAAAATTTAGAATAGGCTGCTATGTTAAATCATCATAAAAAACATTGATTAAGCACCCGATGTCTGCAGCATACCATGCTAGATGTTGGGGGTGCAGGAGGATGATACAAAATTTAGCTAACCCACTGTCTCAGGAGGAAGGCTTATGGTATATAGCACGGGGGTGAGGCACCAAGAGAGATAATCATAATCTGCTGTATTACAGGATAAGTGCATTCAAGAATAATAAGATGAATTGCTTTGTGAACTCTGCGATGGAAGGTTGCTATTGAAGGTTGAGGTGTGTGTGAAATCAGAAGAGTTAAATATGTATTGGACTGATGTATGCACATAAAATGCCATCAGCAATCATGTATTACATGCCTACTGTGTGCTGGGCTCTAAGAGATACAGATATAAAGATGAAACAGCAGCGAAATGAGTCAACTGATCAAAAAGACCTTTGCTAATTATTTTCAAGAGATGCTTGCATATCAGTGTCCTCAGATAAAAGGTGTTATTTCTCCTATTCTAAGTAAAGGCTCTTTCATGTCTTTTTCTTTCCTTAGATTTTCCTTCTCTGAATTGCTGGAAACAGTCTGAGACGGAAGCTCCTTGTTCTGTGAGGAATAAACGTATTTGTCAGTGGAACAACATGAAGTATAAATCAGTAAGCTGATTTAAAAATTTTTTTCTTTGTTCTTATTGCTATGATGCTTCTGTCACACTTAGTGAATTAAAGTTCTAGGGCATGACCCAGGGGGGTGATTAGTTTCTGCTTCCGATATGGAAACCTCCCTTTAGATTTGACAATATCTCAACCGACTCCCTTCAATTCTCCCCAAATTCATCTTTTCTTTCTTCCAAAGTAATTTTTTAATTTAGTATTTTATCTTTGCCCAGTTATGTGTAAAAACAATTTTTAACCTTTAACTCCACTAACAGTGCATTAAAACTTCATTTTTCCCACATCCTTTCCAACATTTGTCATTTACCTTTGTTGTTCTAGTAGCTGATCTCATAGGTATGAGGTAGTACCTCAGAATTGTTTTAATTTGCCTTTCTCCAATCAATAGTGAGTTAGAGTATTTTTTCATATAGCTGTAGATAACTTTGATTACTTCATCTGAAAACTGATCATATCTTTTGGTCATTTATCAATTGGAGAATGGCTCTTATTTTTATAAATTTGACTCAGTTCTCTGTATGTTTGAGAAATGAGGCCTTTATCAGAGAAACCTGCCTCAAAATTTTTTTCACAGTTACTATTGCTAACTGTATTTCCCTTCATCTGATTTCCCTGTCCCCTCCATTTCTTCTATTCTAGCTCTCCTTTTACCCTGTTCCTCAAAAGTGGTTTGCTTCTGACTACCCCCTCCCCTAATCTGCCCTCCCTTTTATCATCCCTCCCCTTCCCCTTCTACTTTCCTGTAGGGTAAAATAGTTTTCTATACCCTATTGAGTGTGCATGTTATTCCCTCTTTGAGCCAATTCTGATGAGAGTAAGGTTCACTCACTTCCTCTCTCCTCCCTACTCCTTCCCCTCCACTGTAAAAGTTTTTTTCTTGCCTCTTTTATTGGAGATAATTTATGCCATTCTACCTCTCCCTTTCTCTTTCTCCCAATACATTCCTCTCTCATCCCTTAATTTTATTTTTTAGATATCATCCCTTCATATTCAACTCACACCTGTGCCCTCTGTCTATATATACTCCCTCTAACTACCCTAATGATAAGTAAGGTCTTATGAGTTACAAATATCATCTTCCCATGTAGAAATGTAAATCGTTTAAAATTATTAAGTCCCTTATGATTTCCTCTTCCTGTTTACCTTTTTATGCTTCTCTTGAGTCTGGTATTTGAAAGGCAAATTTTCTATTCAGCTCTGGTCTTTTCATCAAGAATGCTTGAAAGTCCTCTATCTCATTGAATGTGAATTTTTTCCCCTGAAGGATTATACTCAGTTTTGCTGGGAAGATGATTCTTGGTTGTAATCCTAGCTCCTTTGCCCTCCGGAATATCATATTCCAAGCTCTCTGATCCTTTACTGTAGAAGCTGCTAAGTCTTGTGTTATTGTGACTGTGGTTCCACAGTACTTAAATTGTTTCTTTTTGGCTGTTTGCAATATTTTTTCCCTAATCTGGAAACTCTGGAATCTGGCTATAATATTCCTGGGAGTTTTCATTTTGGGATCTCTTTTAGGAGATGATTGGTGGATTCCTTCAATTCTATTTTACCCTCTGGTTCTAGAATATTAGGGCAGTTTTCCTTGATAATTTCTTGAAAGATGATGTCTGGTCTCTTTTTTTTGATCATGGCTTTCAGGTGGTCCAATAATTTTAAAATTATCTTTAGTTGCTTTCCGCATGAGATATTTCACATTGTTTTCTATTTTTTCATTCTTTTGATGTATTTTATTGTTTCTTGATTTCTTTTTTTTTTAAACTTTTTATTTTTTTTATTTTTATTTTTTAAATTTTTAGGCAATTGGGGTTAAGTGACTTGCCCAGGGTCACACAGCTAGTAAGTGTCAAGTATTTGGTCTGAGGCCAGATTTGAACTCAGGTTATCCTGACTTCAGGGCCGGTATTCTATTCACTGAGCCACCTAGTTGCCCCGTTTCTTGATTTCTCGTAAAGTCATTAGCTTCCATTTTCTCCATTCTAATTTTTAATGAATTATTTTTTTCATTAAGTTTTTAGGCTTCCTTTCCCATTTGGCCAGTTCTGTTTTTTAAGGTGTTCTTCTTCTCATTGGCTTTTTTGATCTCTTTTACCATTTGGCCTCGTCTGTTTTTTAAGGAGTTATTTTTTTCAGTATTTTTTTGTGTCTCCTTTACCAAGCTGTTGACTCATTTTTCATGATTTTCTTGCATCACTCTCATTTCTCTTCTCAAATTTTCCTCTACCTCTCTTTCCTGATTTTCAAAATCCTTTTTAAGCTCTTCCATTGCCTGAGATCAATTCATATTTTTCTTGGAGGTTCTGGATATAAGAGCTTTGACTTCTTCTAAGTATGTGTTTAGATCTTCCTTGTTACCATGATAACTTTCAATAGTCAGAATTTTTTCCATTATTTGCTCGTTTTCCCAGCCTATTAGTTGGCTTTTAACTCTTTGTTAAAGCAGAGCTCTGCTTCCAGGACAGAGGGTGCACTGTTCCAATCTTCAGGGGTTTTGTGCAGTTGTTTTCAGAAATATTCTAGGGACCTGTAAGTTTTTGGTTCTTCCGAGGTGGTATGATCGAAGGACAGGTGTTTACTGCTCTCCTGGCCTGTGCTGTGGTCTATGAATGATGACAAGCACTCCTTTTTGCCCGGGAGGGTCCCCCATCCACTGTTGCTGCAAGCTCCGTTATGCTAGTGCTCCTCCTTGTCCTGGGACTGCCACCCAGGACTGCAGCGTGGATCCAAGTATGGGCAGAGCAACAGAGTCCTGCCTCAGTGCTAGCAAAAAGACCCTTGTAATCTCCTTCTGACCGGTTGTTAGACCCCCATACTCATCTGTGGACTGAGAGGTCTGGAAACTGCCACTACTGCCACTGATTCAGTCATCCCAAGGCCTGCCCCTAGTTTGCTAGGGCCTGGTTTGCATTGGCACGGCCTGTGCTCCTCTCTCCCTGGTGCAGCACACCTTTCCTGTTGACCTTCCAAGTTGTCTAGGGCTGGAAATTTGTTTCACTTCATCTTTTTGTGAGTTCTGCTGCTCTAGAATTTGTTTAGAGTAATTTTTAAAAGGTATTTGGAGGAGTTTGGAAGAGAGCTCAGGCAAATCCCTGCCTTTACTCTGGCCATCTTGGCTTCAATTCCCCTCCATCTCATAAAAACTAACTTCTGCACAGATCCTAGATGTTGATTTTTCTCCCATTTTCTGTCTGCTTAGTTTCTTCTTTGGAGCTTTTTAATTTGACATGTTTGTCTAGCTCTTTTTTGTTGTTGTTCAGTCATGTCTCACCCTTCATGATCCCATTTGGGGTTTTCTTGGCAATAATACTGGAGTGGTTTGTAATTTTCTTCTCCAGCTTATTTTATAGATGAGAAAACTGAGGCAAACAGAGTTAAGTTACTTGCTCAGGGTCACAAACTAGTAAGTGTCTTAGGTCAGATTTGAACTCAGGAAGATGAGCCTTCCTAACTTCAGGCTCAGCACTCTATTCATTGTGCCACCTAGCTCCTCCTAGGTATTTCCAATTCATTCTTAGGACTTTATGCTGTGTAAATAAAATATAAAACCATTTTTCATTGAAACCAAATAGGTTTAAACATATTTACAACCTATCCTTCGAATAACATAAATGTGTTAGACAAACACAAAGTGGATTTATTATCACACTATTATAAGTGGCTGAGTAGATAGAACCCTGGACCAGGAATTAGACAGAACTTTTAAATCCAGCCTCAGACATTTATTAGCAGTGTGACCCTGAGCAAGTCACTTAACCCCTATTTGCCTCAGTTCCTTGTCTGTAAAATGGGGACACTTTGGAGAAGAAAATGGCAAATCACTCCAATGTCTTTGCCAGGAAAATTCCATGGGATCACAAAGAGTTGGAATAACAACTGAACAGCAACAGCAACAATCATTGCTGGTTGGAAGTCTATCCTACTAACTTGGTTGATAGATAGCTACATGACATGGAGATGTGTTTAATATGCATGAGACTATTTTGTAGTGGAGCGCCTTCTCAAAGCTAGAAAGTTATTTTCATTTGGGTGTCCGGGAAAGGATGCTAATATTTCACAGAACTCATGCTTGTTATCAAATGAATTGTTATTGGCCTATAGATGACTACATTTTTCTAATACTACAATATTGCTGGGAAGTTACATTTGATTTGTAAGTCCATAGGAAGTGGGAAATGAACATATAGTTTAGTGATAGGGTAAGTTAGGTAGTGGAAAAGTTCTGGGAGATAACTTCACCATTTTAAAACAAGGTGAAATTGGTCCTTAACGCCATATGCTTTTTTTTTTTTTGCTTCTTGGTGAGACAGTTGGGGTTAAGTGACTTGCCCAAGGTCACACAGCTAGTAAGTGTCAAGTGTCTAAAGCTGGATTTGAACTCAGATCCTCCTGACTTCAAGACTGGAGCTCTATCCACTGCAACACCTAGCTGCCCCCGTCATATGCTTTTTAAGGAATTGTTTTCTTCAGTGGATTTTTATACCTCCTTTTCCATTTGGTCAATTTTACTTTTTAAGGAGTTGTTTTCTTTTTCCAAGCTGTTGATTCTTTTTCATTATTCTCTTGCACAGCTCTCTTTTCTCTTCCCAATTTTTCTTCTACCTCTCTCATTTGATTTTTAAAATCCTTTTTGAACTCTTCCAGGCGGACTTTTTGGGCCTGAAACCTATTCATATTTCTCTTTGAGGCTTTTTTAAATGTAGGCATTTTGACATTATTGTCCTCTTCTTAGTGTGTGTTTTGATCTTTCCTGTTGCCATAGTAGCTTTCTATGGTGAGGGTTTTTTTTTTTGTTTTTTGCTCATTTTCAACTTATTTTGTGACTTTCAAAGTTGAGCTCTACTCCTGAGGTGCAGGGGGTGCTGTCCCAAGCTTCTTGTGCTGGAGGCCAGGGGGCTGCTCACCGGCTTGCTGCACCGTTGCCCTGGGGCTGTCTCATCTGCTGGGCTGGGTTTGCCAGGCCAAGTCTAGCAGCTGTGCTGGGGCCTCCAGACCTGCCAGGCCAGACCACTAGCCTGCTTCATGGGGGCTGGAGCACTCACTGCTAGCTTGCTGTGCTGGGGTGGAGGGGCTTTGGTTGCTGACCTGTGCTGGGGCTAGGAGCCTCCCATTGGTTTGCCCAGATACCTGCTGCACTGGGCTGCACTCCCCTTTTACCCAAGTGAGACTGACCTTTCCTGCAGGCCTTCTAAGTTATCTTAGGCTGGAAAATTGTTTCACCCCATCCTTTTGTGAGTTCTGTTGCTGTAGAATTATTTTTGAGGTGTGATTTAAAGTTATTTAGAGGGAAATTGGGGAGAGCTCAGGCAACTTCCTTGCTTTCTTCTGCCATCTTGGACTCTGCCTGCCTCCCTTAATACCTTAGATGAAATTTGAAATCAGGCTATTAGTGCACATTACTTTACTTTGTTGTTTTTTTTTTTTAATAATTTATTTATTTTCTGTTTTCAACACTCACTTCCATAAGATTTTGAGTTTTAAATTTTCTTTCCCTCCCTCTCCTCCCTACTCCCCAAGATGGTGTGCAATCTGATACAAGCTCTACTTATACTTGTTTTCATATTAGTCATGGTGTAAAAAAGAATTAGAACTAATGGGAAGAACCATGAGAAAGAAGAAACAAAACAAAACCAAAGAAAAGGAGAGCAAGTAGTATGCTTCCATCTACATTCAGACTCCATAGTTCTTTCTTTGGATGTGGATAGCATTTGCCATCATGAGACCTTTGGAGATGTCTTAGATCCTTGCATTGCTAAGAAGGGCTAAGTCTATCAAAATCAGTCATCGCACAATGTGACTGCTACTGTGTTCATTGTTTTATTTTGGATGATGTCTTCTTCCTCTTCTTTTTTTTTTTTTTTGGCTTTTTGTGAGACTGTTGGGATTAAGTGACTTGCCCAGAGTCACACAGCTAGTAAGTATCAAATGTCTGAGGCAGGATTTGAACTCAGGTCCTCCTGGCTCCAAGGCTGGAGATCTATCCACTGTGCCACCTAGCTGCTCCAGATGTCTTCTTTTCCAAAATCATAATGAAAATAAATGGCTTTACTAAGGTAGTGATGACCTGTGAGTTTTTAAAAGATATCATTTATTTTAACACTGAAAGAGAATAAATTAATAGATTTAAAATTGTAAGAGGCCTTAAACATCATTTAGTCCAACACATTTTACATAAATGAGGAATCTGATCTAGAGAGTTTAAGTGACTCCTCCAAGGTCATACATAAAGCTAATTGTAATGGATTACATGAATACTAAATTTGTGTGAACTTTTATGGTGACATAAATTTAGAAACCAAATATTTGGTTAATTTTAAAATAAAGTAAACTGTTTCTAGTTTACCTGTCAGATTTTTAAGGTTGCCCATTTCCATAAGACTGTTGTAACTAAATTGACAATGGGAAATTAGCTACAGTATGTGGGCAGTGCTTCTGTTGAGCTTGGAAAATTAGTTGCAAAAGACAACATGATAGCTCTTTGGCTCTTGCTGTAGTAATTCAGTTGTGACAGTTCTTGAGTAACAGATTTTTCAAGTCATTTGGGGAAGAAAGCGAGATAGAAGAATGATGAGAGATGTTGTAGTTTGGATGTTCACTTGCTACTTTTATTCTTTCAATTATGTCCTAACATATACTTCAATTTAATTTTATTTTTTTCTTAATTGCATGTAAACAAAAAATTTTAACATTTATTTTTTGAAATTTTGAGTTCTATATTCTCTACCCCCTCTCCCCCATCCTTGAGACGGCAAGCAATTTGATATATATTAAACATGTGCATTCATGCAAAACATTTCCATATTTGCCATCTAACATAGATTTTCTGATGTGATTCTTGTAAAGAAGAAATACATCTTTTTAGAGAGTTATGTTACTTATATAGGCCATGTAAAGCCACTCTGACAAACTGAATTTTATAAATATATTAATATTGCTTAAGGTAAATATGGTAGCTGTATTGGGATCCTGTTGGGATTTGTTAGTCCTCAAACTTAGTTATGAGGTTCAAAGAAAGCCTCCATAAATGTGACTTTAGCAGTGGGGCTGGGAGCAGGAAATAAAGCATTGCATCATCGAATAAGCCTGCATTAAACAGAACTTTTAAAATTCAGTGTGATAATTATTGGCTGAAAGAGACTCACCAGAAAAAAACCAAAAAACCTGACATCCCCTACTCCCCAAAAAACTGAGTGATTAAAGTAATTGTAAACCCTCTTTTGAATGTGTGTTTATGGTGGCCCTCTAATCTTAAATTTAACTTGTCCGTCCTCTCTCCGTAGGTAAATCAGAATGTGATGCTACAGGTTCCAGTGGGACTAAGAGTACATTGTCTCCTCGTATGTGTCATGACGCTGCTTATTACAGTCTTGTGTTCTGGTCTTATCCTTAGAGCAGTCTTCAAACATGGTCATTTCTCCCTGTGAGAATGTCATATAATGATTTGTGATATTCTAGAATTATGGCATTCCTTTTAATTGACAGTAATGTAATTTTAGTTTTGGTGAAACCAATTTAATAAAAAATACACAATGGTGTTTGTAAATGATTTTGCCTAATTTTTACTTAATACAGAAATTTAATGCTGAATTTGTGCTTGGTAATTCCTCAGGTATCAAGTGCCAATATAAACAATTTAATTCTGTTAAATGGACAAATTATTTTTCAAAGAATAGGGTCAGCTACAAGATTGTAAGCCCTTTGAGGGTAAAGAATCATGTCCTATCTATCTTTGTGTCTTCCTCACAGCCTAATGCAGCTCTTTGCTCATAGTGTAATTGTTAATTGAATTGGAAGAGAAAAATGAGTTCTATATGCAGAGAAATGAATTTCTTTTATTTTTTGGTCATTATTAACTAACAAATGTTTTAAAAATCAGGGAAAGCATTACGGATGAGGGCACATTATTTCTAATCACACATTTGATTGAGGATTAATTTTTTTTGAAAAACATTAAAAAACATCCAGAGGTTTAGGGAAAAGCAAAAATTAACATAAGAGATTATTACTAATAGCAATACTTAGCATACTCATTGCATTTTATTTCTATCTTATATCATGCTACTTCTGGATTTATATATATCTGTCGGTGGGGAAGGAAAATAATGAAACTACTTAATAAGCTTTAGTGTAAGAAAATTGTGAGAGAACACAGCTCAATTTGCTCCTTTAAGAAACTCTTTATGTAAAATCAATGCTTTCTCTGAAATCTTGGGTATCTCGTAAGATTATTTACAGATTGATTTTTTAAAATGGAACACTAGTCCCTGCTGTATTTGGTTAAAAAAAATAGGAAGTAAGAATAGCAGTAGGTATACTTCAAAATAACTGAGAAGTAAATGTGCTGCTAACCAGTAAATCAGGGTACATTATTTTTATTTATTGTATTAAATATTTCCCAATTACTTGGAAAAGTTGTTTTAACATTCATTTTTTAAAAATTTTGAGTTCCACATTCTCTCCCTCTCTCCTACTTTTCACCCACCCTTTGAGAAGGCAAGCATATGGTATCAATTATACACGTAAAGTCATGCAAAACATTTTCATATTGGCTGTACTGCAAAAGAAGACACAAAAAATCCCCAAGAAAAATTAAGTAAAAAAAGTATGCTTCAATCTTCATTCAGAGTTCAATGGTTCTCTCCCTGGGGATGGATAGCATTTTTCGTCATGTGTCCTTTGGAATTGTCTTGGTATTTGGAATCATTGTTTTGATTGGAGTAGCCAAGTCTTTAACAGTTAATCATCGTTAAAATATTGCTTTTACTATATGCAGTGTTCTCTTGGTTCTACTCACTTTACTTTGCATCAGTTCATATAAGTCTTCCCAGATTTTTCAATCAGGATATATTATAACTATGTTTTTTAGTAGAGTAAATACAATGTGATATATGCATGTTATAATATATATATATATATATATACACATACACACACATATGTGTATATATATATATATACACATATGTATATATGTATATATATAGAGAGAGAGACAGAGAGAGACAGAGAGAGACATGTAAGATCAGGAGAATTCCCGATTTGCAAATCTGTTCTTCATAATGTAACTAATTAATTAAGCTGCTACTTGATTACTGGCACGTTGTCTCTAGCTTGCTGTTTTGTCATTCTCAGGTTAGAGACTGGCTCAGTAAAAATCCTGTTACTATCACTAAATATTTTATTGTATGAAGAATCTAGTATAGTACTGTAGGTTATATAGTGGTGTTTATCACAGGAAAAAAAGCAGCTAGTTAGTTGTATTATGGAAGCCATCCTAAAATATGGCTTCCTACCCTTTTCCAAAGGTAAATACCTTCAAAGAGGATTTTGCTCTCCCAGAGGCTTTATAGGTGGGCCCAGAATCTTATCTTGCCCAGAATCAGGTCACCATACAATTTCCAAACCACTTCTGGCATGTCCTCCGTTCCATCCCAATTTCTAGCCCAAAGATAGATAGATAAATGATAGGTAGATAGATATACATATACACATCCATCAGTCTATCTGTCTTGTCTATCTATCTGCTTATTCTATCTATCTGCCTATCTCATTTTCTGCTACTGGAATGTAAGCTTTTTGAGAGCAGGGACTGGCTTGCTTGTATTTGTGTCTCCAGTGCTAACACAGTACCTGGCATATAGTAAATGCTTAATCAATATTTTTTCTTTTCAGTACAGTGCAGAGATAAGAGTGAGGTTTCTGTCTTTGGCCTGATAATTGAAAAGACAATATTTGTATGAGCAAATTAAGTTTTTTAATCTGTTTGTGTTCTGATGGGTTTAGCTGTTAAAAAGTTACCAAAACAGGGGCAGCTAGGTGGTACAGCGAATAGAGCACTGGCCCTGGAGTCAGGAGGACCTGAGTTCAAATCCATTCTGAGACCAGACCCTAGCTGTGTGACCCTGGTCAAGTCACTTAACCCCATTGCCTAGCCCCCCACCCAAAAAAAAAGTTATCAAACCACAAAGTCATACAATTGTGTGGCTTTCTAGATTGCTTGCTTCTAGAAGTACATTTTGTCTCTTGGAATGATTTTTACATGTAGTATCAAAGAACTCATTGAGCTGGAAGGGATGTTAAAGATTATCTAGTCTAGCAATTAAACCTCATTTTACAGATGTGGAAAGTATAGTAAGATGGGAAGTGACTTATCTGAGGTCACAATTCCAACTTAGTTATATGATCACAGAATGTCACCAGCTGGGTGGGACCTTATTGATAAATCTATTTCCATTTCCTTATTGGACAGATAAGGAAATTGAAATGGAGACAGTGACTTGCCCAATATCACATAGATAGTACTGAAGGCAAGACTAGAACATAATTTCAGCTTAGCATTGAGTCTCCCAGTTCATTCTTTCTACCATACCATGTTAACTTCTACAAAACTGGATGCCACTAATCTTTTGTCTATACATCTTGGACCTGTCTCTGAGAAGCATCCAAATATACCACAGGCCTAGCTCACTGCATCCTGATTTATTATTCTTCTGTTCCTTTCATTTCACTGCTCCAGGCAGAATAAGGAATAGGTTGAGGAAAGGGAGCTAAAAACAGTTAAGTGATCATTATACTTGACTTCTATGTAAAAGGGAGATCAGAGAAGGTGGATCCAAATTTTGAAGTAGATGAAATTTGTTTTTGGAAGTTTCCTGCTTCCTTTCTGTGGGGTAACTAGGTGGCGAAGTAGATAAGAATATCAGGCCTGAAGTCAGGAAGACTCTTATTCATGAGTTCAAATCCAGTCTGACACCAGCTGTGTGACCCTGGGTAAACCTCTTTAGTGTTTTTGCCAAGGAAACCTCAAATGGGGTCACAAAGAGTTGGCCACCACTAAGCAACAAAAAAATTTCCTTTTTATACTGCTATGCAGTACAGTATTGATTATATAGATCATGGGGAAACTGAGGCCTGACTTTAAAAAAAATATGTGGATGTGTGTATATATATGTAAATATATAAAATTTCTTTTAAAATTTCCCAGTTACATGTAAAAAAATTAACATACATTTGTAAAAATTTTGAGTTACAAATTCTCTTCCTTCCTCCCACACCTTGAGAAGGCAATCAATATATTGATTATACATGTGAAGTCATGCAAAATATTTCCCTATTAGTCCTGTTGCAAAAGAAAATATACAACAAAAAGGAAGAAAAATAAAAAAATGCACTAAGAATTCATCAGTTCTCTCTGGGGGACGATAGCATTTTTCATCATGGGTCCTTTGGAATTGTCTTGGATCATTGGCTACATCAGTGTCTAAGTCTTTCACAGTTGATCATTGTTATAATATTGCTGTTACTGTACACAATGTTATCTTGGTTCTGCTCATTTTACTTTGCATCAGTTCATATAAATAGAATGACTTTTTTGAATGAATGAATAAGGCATTTATTAAGTGCTTACCATGTGAAAGCATTGTGTTTTGGAAGTCAAGATCTGGTAGGTAAAACACCTAAATGGCTTCAGGAGGTGGCATATCCCTTGAGAGGACTCTCAGAATAGAAACGGTAAGCCTTTCCCAAGCATTAGAAAAAAAAAAAAAGCATTGAAGTGTGCATAGGATAGGTGTATATCCTAATTGCTTGGTGAACTGCCCCGATTCGAGCAGAACTGGCGTAGGCCCTTTCGGAGACAGGGGATTGGACTAGATGAAAGGTGCATGGCTTTTCTGGACTCAACCAGCAGCCACCCGGGAACTACAACTCCCAGCAGCCTCTTCGTCCCTTGGCGGACGGCGGCCAATCGGGTTTGAGGGGCTCAGTTTGGCCCGGGAGAGGCGCCGGCGCCCGCTCGGCGCAGCCTGAGGTCGCTGCTGTTGTTGACGCCGCGTCCTCCGAGCTCCCCTGTCCCCCCCTCCCTCCTTCAGGGTTGTGGCCACGCGCAGCGGCGGCGGCGGCGGCGGCTGTTCCGCTTCCCCTCAGGCCCCGGCGGTCGCCATTGCCGAAGGCTGCCTCCCCTGCCTGCACTGGGGCACTCGGGGCGGCGGCACGGCCTAGTAGCGAGGGCGGCCGCAGCAGCGACCCGGGGCAGGGGGCCTCGAGTTGCCGAGGCCGGCTCCCGTCCTCCCGACCCTGCCCTCCCTGGCCGCGCCCTCCCGGGGCGGCTCCGGAGCCAGCCAGCCAGGCGGGGAGCGCGGGGCTTGCGTCCGGGCGGTCGCGGGAGGCGACGCTGATCCAGGCGCCTCGCAGGGGCGGGGACGCTTCGCTCCGTGGCCGCGGGTAAGTGAGGCCGGGCCGTGCTGGGCGCCCCTCCCCGGCCGCCGGGGAGCCCGGCTCTGCCGCCGCCGCCACCTGTGTCCCGGGGCGGTGGCTGCTTATTGTTTGCTCCCCCGGGGCAGGCTTCTTCCCTTTCGTACCCTTGGGGAAGGGAGGACCGAGAAGTTGGGGGGGGTCGTTCTGCCCCCGCGCCTGCCCCTGAACTGCCCCAGGGCTCTGCCCCTCTCCTCTCCACTTCTCCCCCTCCGCCCTCCCACGCGCACGCCTTTTTCTTTTTCTCGTGGCCCCCTTTGGGGTCTGGCCAATTTTTCTTCTTCCAGACAGTGC